TGGCTAGTGGCTGACAGAGTGGAATCTGGAATGCGTTTATGGTACGCCACGGCGATTTGGCAACTTACATCGTGTACGTACCTGCTGAAGTGTCGGTTGCTGCAGAGAAAACAGATACTGATATTTCTATTTTTAACTACGAAACTCCGTAAAAATTGCGTAGCTGCCAGGGGTCAACGCCACTCAACATGTTCGATGAACCGGTGGGACCCCATGGCCTCCCTCCCACTTTCCAATGTGGCGTAATGTGCTGTATGAAAATAATGTGCGAAAAATCAAAGAGCAACAGGGTGATCTCTGTTCACAGGAGCGAAACCAAGGGAAGGGAGAGGCTCTTAGGGGACAAATTCAGTCTCAAGGCGTGGGACCCCTTAAGCCTTTGAACGGGTGAGCCTTAATCATTAAATCTGCTCCTGGTAGCAGCAAAGACATGAAAACGGATTGAATACTGGATGCAAATAGTTGCACACATTTATTCAAATATGAATGTGAGTAGCTATCGAAATCTGTGTCGTACGAGTATCCCGAAAGAAATACCCATAATGTTTGGAGCCCCTATCGCTAGTGAGTAAATGACGACATCTACCAAATCCGTAAAAAGTGTTCGCTTCTCAATCTTCCGCCAGATAGAAGCAACAGAGTTAGAACTCTACGTGGTGCCTCAAGTTAAGGAATCGCCTTGCTGCCTCATGCATGTTCACTGATCCCGCCGGTCCCGAGGGTTCAGTTTCGTTAACCGTTGAGGCCTCATTGTCCTAGGTGAGACGAAATCAAGATTGACATGGCCCCTTCCTGTGCACTGTGCAGTAGACGTACACAGTAGTGCTGTTACTATGTGCGACAAACGGCAATATGTACTTTTTTTCTGGGGTGTGACCAGCGTTAAATCAAAGCCTTCCCGACTGAAATAACACTAGAGATCCCCAGAGTGATTAGCTAGGCCTAAGCTTGATCGTTTTTGAGGGAATTGGATCAAAAGGTTACTTTATTGGATGAGTCTCTTATTCGAGTGAGCAGGACTCAATCCATTTCCCCTCGGCCCTCTTTTCCTATTAGCGAAATTCATGGAACGGAAAATTCCCCAATCACTGCCGATGAAATTAACGTGTATTTCCCATGTGGCTTCTCTAATTCCTGCCCTCCGCATTCTCCCTTTCCCACTTTCTATTCAACGTTCCCAAGAACCAGAAGAAATAAGTTTCTGTTTCGATTTCTCTTTCGATTATTCTCTAATTCCTGGAGATGTGTCATGACTTTCATATCTTTCAGGCAAGAGTTAAGACCCTGTTCTTCACATAATCTCATTCTTGTGACTGCTGCATGCATGCTGCTTTTCCAGTATACCTGCCAGGTGGTACTACCTCCAACTGCGTTAAAACTTCAGAATTAACGACTCTACTGGTTAACCAGCGTTAAATTGCACTTACTGAGACTTTTTGGTTCAATCATGGTTCATTCCTAGAATCACCGACTTTAATTTCTACCCAATTTTTAAATGTTGAATTAGAATTCTTCCAGTTTAGTATGGCTGGTTTCAACTTGAAAGGTGTGTTACTATGGACTTATTCATTGGGCTCAATGTTCTAAAGTCCTTTCATTAAATTGAAACTGAAACTTGGTGCTATTATTGCCTCAGGCCTAGGCCTATAGCTTTGCACAGGCCCAAGTCCTACATTCTCATATGTGAGCCTTTCACAGGTCATGTCTGCCACTCTTGTCAATCCAAAGACTTATGGAGGATGAATATCTTTGAATAGAAGTTTGGCATTTTGCTGAGTAATGAAGGTTTGACTGGTGAATAATGTACAAGAAAACATGATGGTTCTCTACAGGCTAAACATACGTCAAAGCAGAATCCTGCATGGCATGCACTTCTTTGTGGCACAGTTCCATTGCTCTTTATCATAAAAGGGGTGGTATTTGCAAGTATCCATCAATGGATCTGGCCCAGGCCAGATCCATTGATGAAAGATTGCAGGTCTGGACCTGCAATCTTTCTACAAGGAATTAATTTAATTATAAAATTACTATTTTTTCTAATGCTATATAGGTAGCCAATAAGTGCAAAAGCAAGATTTTCTTCTCTGGTAATATAACTGTAATATTAACAGGAACCAACAACAAAGATTTTACCAGTAATTGCCAGTGGTGTTATGGTAACATTACTGGCACTCACAACTCTAATTGTGAATATCAGGGCACTACTCAAATCTTCTGATGATGGATGAATCAGTTTTTTTAATATAACTGATGGAATGGTATATGCAAGAGAGAGTTGAGATTTTTTAGCAATGCATCAAAGCAAGAAACTCTACAAATATAGTGATTGGGGCATTATAAGCAAAGACTTGTGTGCATGAAAATATGCACATGAAGGAAAGAGATCAAGAACCAAAGTTAGCATTTCTAGAGGCAAGTATAAGATGAGAAATGCCCTAAATACTGATATTTATGTTTTTCCAAATACCTTAAACATCTACATTAAAAAATGTCCACACTTGGAGCACTAATTTGATAATTATGCCCTTTAAGTTGCATTTAAAAGAAATATTGTTTTTGAGGTGTCCTGGCTTTGTTAGTAGAGAACTCTGATGATCATCATATGCAAGAAATTGGCTATTGCTGCTCCTCAAGTATAACTTCCAGTTTTTGGTAAAGTTTCATGAGACAGTAAGTGCATGCCAGACAGGTCCCCCTTTCTTTAATGCCCTTTTACTCTTAAACAGTTTTTACTGTTTAAGAGTAAAAGCATTAAAGAAAGAGAAAGAGCATTTTTACTGTTCTTTATGATGGGGAATAGCCAAAGCTAATGGGTGTTTATGAGCATGCTTTTTTGCAGCCTTTTTTCCAATCTCCAATAATTCTCTTAATGAAAATCCCTGCCTTAGTTTTGCTCCTGCTGAAAATGAAATAACATAAAGTATTCCAGGGATCCCTGTTGGGGGTGATGATCATATATAGTACATATTTTATCATGGATGATAAAATATGTACTATATTCCTTTCTTATATAATACTTCACCCCCTTAAAAGTTTGAAGATCTCCACTGAGTCTCTTGAAGAACCTTTTTTTTTTCTGAAACAATGAAGGAAAAAAGAATTCAGTGTTTCCTCATTGGAAAGCTCCCTGACCTGCCTCATTATCTTGGCCACTCTATGTTGTACTTCCTCAACTGCTTTCATGGCCATCCATGTGAATGGATGCTAACCTGTGAACAATGCTCTAAGTTCTGCTTATAAAGCTATAAAGCTACATAGGGTGCTCTGTTTCCATTGAATAAATTGTACCACTGGTATCTAATTCTGTTGCACATAGTACAACTCAAGTCTTTCTTCTTCCCTACAGTCATTTCCATATAATTTTGTGGTACAGTTTTTTTTATTTTAGACCAAAGATGTAATGGAATATCCTTTTTTTTTTAAGCTCCATTAACCATCTAATGTTTCAGTTGTCTATGTGAGAATGAATTTCCTCTCCTCTTCTAATTTTTGTTGTTGTCACAAGTGAAGTTGATATTTCTTAGCATCTTATATCTTCATCCCACTATGACCTTGATCACACTATGACCTATGGCAGTGAAACCTTGCTTCTTGAGGAATTGCATTGTTAGTGGTCTTTCATTCCCTGACTTTTTTTCAATTGAGTCGTAAGAGAGGCCAGTTAAGTGGTTTGCGTTCAGGTTAACGCTTGTGTGGCGGCGGGAAACTTGCTGTAAAGCTCCTCAGAAAGAAAGCCAACTAATTTTCTTCTCCCATAAGTTAAGAATGGAACCCTTCGTCTGCTAGTGGCGGCTCGTCCGTGGAGACAGGTCAGACCGAGCCTAGCCTGTCCCAAACTGACGAGCGACACTGCTATATATGATGAGCCGCCGCTGGGTCGACCATGCGTGCCGTTCGTGTACGGGCTCTTTCCCCACCTGTCCATCCATGTCAATGTTTGTTTAATGAGCCTTTGATCAATGGTAACGTGGGCTCAGGGCCAAGCTCTGAACCAGTAAAATCGTGAAAATTGATGCGAATTTTTTTTTTCCAACTTCGTGTGCATACTTCGCAGAGCCATGATGAGCCATTGAATTTAGGAAGAACTTAGTTTCATTTTAGTTTCGTTTATGCTCACCCTAATCAGACTAGAGGGGAATCTCCTGAAAGATAACTTGGCCTGGATCTTCATATTCGCATCCCTTTCCCCGCTTTTTGCCGTATAATCTAATTTTGCTTTTCTGCATTATGTAAGAGTGGAGAATCCTCCACGAAGCCAGGCTCATAACAGTATATACGAAAAAGTTTTTTTTTTTTCATAGGCTACTCAAACAGGAAGCTTTCGAAGGATGACATAATACGACTATGAACGCTTCATGCTGCTAGATGATATTTGCTTTCCTTGGGAGTATTTCCATCCGGATGAGAGCATTCCGGAGACGACAGGGCGGAATCTCCTTCGAAGTAGGCGGTGCGCAACTTTCGTCAGGGCGAATGCGGTGCGCGGCTTCCCACGATCCGATTCTTAGAAGTACCTACGAAGCCAAATGTCGTTCCGAGCTCTCATTGCACCTTTCTGCAGCAGTTGACAGCCCATTTGCCTCTCTCGAGCCGCGACGATTCCACGATCGATTCACGTGTTCTTGCTCGCTCGACTAGTGACCCTTGGTGGCCCCGTGAAGGGCTCTATCAGTCGTCGCCTCCCGGAAACCCGAAAATCGATAGCCTGGGCCGACCCGCACAAGGCCAAGGGATAGGAGCGTACGGTTTCTTTTTGCTTATCGAGTTCTCGGGGATAACAGCCTAGCTGGCTCGCCCTTATCTGAAAAGTTTTTCCTCCGTAGTGTGGACTCATCCAATGTCCTTGTGCTGTTAGAACAGGTTACCTCGTAGCCATATCGGGAGAAAGAGGGAGACATCCTCTTTCTCTCGTTATCCAGCTATCTCTTTCCCCCAGCCTCCCATGTGGGTTTCCCCTGTGGTCTCATCCGCTTTCTTTCTTCTTCATGCTCTTGTGCTTCAGGTGATGATGCGATTTTAGTGAAACTGTGTTTGTGAATCAGTGAAAATGTCGTTGGCGGGGTTTCGCAAGCAACTCAACAAAGCGAATCAGGTGAGACACTATTTCTTGCGTGTACCAATTAAAAAACAAAGGATATTTAAGGATCCTTCATGTCTGTCCCCGTGCTGACTACCAGTTTCGTTGTTAAACGACTAGTAAAAAAAAGAGGCTTTTATTGCATTCCTTCTCTCGCATCCGCCTGTTGGTTGAAATTGTTTCCACACCTCAGGCCCATGTCGGATTGAACCTGGTGAGCTGAACTTTTTCAATTAATTGATTAACGCGATGGGCTCATCTATCGATATTATGCCTTATCAGAGTAGCTGTGGCAATCAATGACTCAAGTCACGTTCTCCAAGTATGACGAAAAAAATGGAACCAGATGAAACAAATGGAAGAAGCTTGGAGGATCGATGGAGACTTCAGTCTTGGCAACAAGCGAAGGGCGATTGTTGTTAGCTTGTATGATCGATCATCCCAAGGAGACTTATAAATTGCTTTGAGAAACCCAGAAACCTTTATGAAGTGAACAGACCAATCTCTTAATGCCCGTTTTGAATTTTGAATAGAGCTCCATCTAGCTTTCTTCTTAAGTTGTTCATCAGGGCGAGACTGGTGAGTCAAGGCCTTTAAATTTCACCTTTTGCTTTTATATTTTTAAAGGAAAGTTTTAGAGTAGTCTCATCACAATTCTTTGGTGAATAAAGCTTTCTTACATAGTTGTTATATTGGTGTTTGTAATCCATTCTCATTATGTAGGCTTTCAATTCTGATGAGGCTAATAGGTTGATGAATAGTTTTATTTCTTTACTGTGAAAATGTAATTAATCGAGTAATAGAATAAACACTGTCCAAAAACACAAAGCTTCATTCTTTTTACTTCATTGAAATTGGGTTTATTTACTCTCTTCCAGTTTGTATCTGAGAGGATTGGTGGTGCTGAGGGCACCAAGCTGGATGATGACTTCACTGAAATGGAGAGGGTAAGTTGCTTCAATAAAAAATGTTGTGGAGTCTTTTGATTCTGTTGGCATGAAGTCTAGCTTATGCTGGTATCATAGAGTATTGTTAGTGATATTCTTTGGTTATTGGGCTTCATCACTTGCATTTCCCTTGTTATGTTGAAGCTACTTTGAAAAGTGGTAAAGTTTGCAAACTATTCTCCTCAACTATATGCATCAAAGGAAGAATTTGAGATGTATTAAATGCCAGAGTTCAAGTTCCTTTGGGAACTTCAGCATTGGTTTCTAGAGGGGTTGGAGTGAGACACCAACAAAGGGTAGTGGATGTACAGCTGAATGTATGAAGTAAATTTTATGAAAATCCCAGATGAGGTATTTCAGCTAAATGAGGTCAAATTTCAGAATATATTTTAGGATTAAAGGTATTGCATTGAAATAACACTAACATGCATGGCATCTTCAGAAAGGGTAAGAAAGCTTTTTTAAAAAGAGCTAAGAACGTTTTCTAAAGAAAACGTTCTTAGCGTTTGTAGAGAATTTTTAAAAATGAAGGAGGACATGGGTGCTGCCATGTCACCAAACAGGCAATTTCTTCATGACCTTTTGTCTGGAGATCTAAGTGACTGAAAACAAAAGTATTTTGAGGGTCATGGTTTTTTAATTGTACAGAGCAATGGCCCAAATTTAGACAAGATTGAAGATCATATTTAATGGTCTGTTAATTTGACATGACTCATGTTAACTCATTAGACTTATTATTACTATGCCAAATTGATTGCTTAACTTAATGCAATTTTTGAAATGTTGTAGGACATCTATTCTGAAAGGGTAAAGCCAATCTTCCTACTTTTCCATATACATGCCTCAGTAAGATAAAGGCATTTCATTATACTGTATTTGGTTAGCTGGCCTTAGATATATGCATAATTTCTGCATTGCTAGAATGTACCCTGTGCATTCTCAGTATATAACAAGTAATATTTTCTTTATAGGAAATTATAAACAGGATAATACAGGAATTCAGGGTAAACTTTTTGATATCTGCAAACCTTTTCTTTTGTCATACCACAATAGTTCATAAGATCTTAGAAGCTCTATGATGTTGGGAAAGGTTTAGCAAGAAGAAAAAAGTCATCAGATTGCAGCTGGTGGAGTGGTAAATTTTAGTTCACTTAGAATGCTTGCAGCCAGAATCAGCCCTGCATACTGGTGTGCAAGTTTGGCCCAGGCCAAAGATTCTGTCAGAATGTATGTGCATGCTGACCAGTGTTCATTTTCATTGCTGATACTGTGAAGCTGCAACCTTGTTTTTGGACGATGCCATTAGCGCCAGCAGAACCTTGATATGACAAACTGTTTTTTTTTATTGTAGAAAACTGACGTGACGGCTGAGGTGGTGGAAGAGCTCCAGACAAAAACGAAGGAGTTCCTCCAACCAAACCCAACAGTTAGAGCAAAAATGGCAGCTGTGAAAGGGATTTCCAAGTTGAGTGGCCAAGCCAAGGCATCAACATATCCTCAGCCTGAAGGAATCCTCGGGGATTGTATGCAAACATATGGCCGCAGACTTGGGGAGGACAACATCTTTGGTTAGCCTTCCAACCTCCTCCTTACAGTGTCTTCATATTTTCAAGGAGTATGGAATTTGAATATGTGGAAATATTCAGGGAAATACATTATGCTTGATGCATTTTAAAGAAAAGCTTGAAAAATGGTCTGGTACTGTTTTTCCAAGTCATGAATGACAAGAGGAAGGGTTATGACATTGCCATTGTTAACTCGTGAAAAGAGAATGAGTGTCAGATTAAAGGTACATAAGGGTGTGTTCAGGAAAAGGACTAGAATTGGCTCAATTCCATGGTGACAGTCATTGATGCTGGGATTGAAAATAAAATTATACATACATTATTTTCATTGATGAGTATAAGGAAAACTGTAATGAATTGCAACAGGATGAGAATGACAACCAGATTTACCTACTCAATAAAATTGCGACTCAGTAAAATTGAAGCTAAACAATTTCCCATATGAGAATGAAATGAAGTCATGAATTACCATAAAATTTAGAAGTAGTCATGAATTGTATTGTTTGTTTCTGTTCCTTTTTTTAATTTGCCATATTGATTTCTGAGTGGGTATTGAGCTGGAGGTGGGTTGGAGATAGGTGATGGATGCATGAGGACTTATAAGGCTTTGGAGGATTTGTTTTCATGGGAGATGAAAAAAATCTCTGAACATATCAGAATTCTTGTGGTGATAGGTGTGAATGATTTAAAAGCAATTTCCATTCTGAGGTCTGGTCAGGTTTTTGTGTCTGGATAAAGTGGCAAGTGTAAATGTGAAAGTGGATTGGTAATGGCAGACCTATTTGGAAGATAAAAATTGGAGTCTGAGGCTATAATAAATTTGAGCCTATATTGAGGGCATGCAAGATCAAACTACTGAGTGAGCAAAAAAGAAATCAACCCAAATTTTTGGTAGCATCTGGTGAAGGTGCTTGCCATGCAATTTTCGAGTGATCATCTTTCAATCCAAATAAATGCTGCAAACCATTTGGCATCTGCTGGGAATCAATAATAGCCAGGCTAAACAGAGGCAAGTAAAAAAAGTTAATGTGATAAAACTTGTGTGCAATATATGCCTATCACAGCCAGTAGCACAATAAAAATGTAATGCTAAATTAGAATGTGATTAAAGTTGAATAGGTGACGTCAGGCTAATGTTTATTACTGAAGTAAATGTTTGATGGGGACCTCCATTTTTGTCCTTCACCGCCTACAGCCACCACTTTAAGAGCTTAGGTGGCATGAATCATCATTTTTCTCAGTTTCTGCCTTGATAGAGGCTGGCATGCAAATGTCAAGTTTCCATGATATTATATTTTATTATCCATGTGTGTTTAACTGGGTATAACTTCTGATTCCCTGGAGGTGCTATACAACAGTTTGTGGTTTTCAATTGGGATTAAACAGAACTTTCAGACAATGCTTGCAACTTTTAAAATTGTGGCCAGTATTTGGTTGATAATTTTTTTGCTCATACTCTGTATAAGTGAACCTGTGATTAGAGGAGAAGATTAACACAAAATTGTATCTGTGCTGAAGGGACAAAAATACAAATGAGAGATTTAGCCTTTGTGGAAGATGGAGGAATGAGATGAAAATAACGTTTTCTCTGTGCTGAGAGGATAAATCAATGCCATGACAAAGTCGGAGGTTAGTCAGCATCTTGCCTGAAATTTCTGGATGCACTCAAGCATTATAAATCATTACTTGCCTTCTTTGGCCATGATCAGTGCCAATTCTGCCTAACAATTATATAATCCTTCTCCTACTTCAGAAGAAAGTAACCTTTCTTCTGACCACATGATCTCATTATGGTGTGGTGAGAAGCACAATGAATATTTAAACCTTTTTTTGATATGAAGTGCTTATATGAATGCATGCAATTCAATCAATGGAGAACATGGCAGTAGGTTTCCTGCCATAAAGTTTTGGGATGAATACTTTGAATATGGTTATGTGTCACTCAAGGCCTGGACAAGCTTTTCATGATGGTATATAAGTTTTGATGTAATAATTTTATTGTAAGATTAGGTGTCTCCTTTGAAATATTGGACTTTTGAAGAAGATTGAGTGCAAAATTATTTCTGTTATGATATTGCAGCACAATCCCTTGTGGAATTGGGAGAAGGCTTGAAGCAGATAGCAGACATCAAGTATGCTCTGGATGATAACATGAAGCAGAACTTCTTGGAACCCCTACATCACCTCCAGTCGAAGGACATCAAGGAGGTCATTGTAAGGAAGCCAGGGATTTTATGTTCATGCAAATGTTTTTCTCACCTTTATTCTTCATTAATCCATGTCCATTACTCTGAGACTGTATGTTCTGTTTATGTAGCATCACCGCAAGAAGCTTCAAGGCAGAAGACTTGATTATGACTGCAAGAAACGCAAACAAACTAAGGGTGAGCAGATGGATTTGCTTTATCAGCACATCTCATGTAGTTGTCAATATTTTGGAGCATTTTTTATTGCATTCATGTTTTGCATGGGCCAAGTTTCAGGTTGACAAACTATTATGTATTATATAAACTATAATGAACTCTCAATTCTTTATAGAGGAATGCATAGGCAGAAATGTTACTTGTAACATGATTGCATGCACAGCCAAATTTAGATGATGTTGATCAGTTTGATTATGCCAGGGAAAGTTTGGTTGATTTCTATGCATGTCCAGCTTGGAGTGGATCTCCAGGTTTTTTTGCCAGCCTTCAAGGGAGCCCTGTCCATGGTGAATGCAAGTTGGAAATTTCTTCTTAGAGAGCTTCCATCTCTCAGACTGGGAATTCAGTTACTTAGTCAAATCAGACACTGACATTTGTGTTGAACTGAAGCATGAAGCAAAAAAAACTTGTGTTTGTTTGGCTGTAATTTATGCTTTCATTCTGTTTACTGTCATTCCTCTCTATACCAATAGGCTATGCTATTAGCTCTCTTCGTAGCAACAGCTCTGTAGCCTGACTCTGGCTCTCCTGTATTTATGTGTGATTGGTAGATTGTAGCTGCAGTATAGGCTGAGAGTTGTGATTACTACCAAACAGAGAGTACTGGTTCATTCATTGGGGGATGGGAAGAGCCTCAATAGTCAAATCATCTGATAGCCCCTGTCACAATACTGCTCATTCACTAGCATTGTAGCTTTCACTTTTAAAGATAAGTTTTGGGATTGCAGTTCCTACATATTGAGTTTTTATTCAAACACACTTTTCACTAAATTGGTGAGTGACATACATTTGAGCTCTAAAAACTGGGTTATTTCTTGTCTGTTGAAAGTAGTCCAACTGGAAAGTAATCCAATAGAAATGTTCCTTCCTTGCTGTGGTAACTAAGCCTTATGGCTTGAGGAGGAGGGGAGATACGAATAGCTGTGCTTGATATCACTTGCACCTTGAAAGTATTAGGTTGGTGCAAAAATAATTGCGGTTTTTAACCATCAACTTTAAAGCAGTATATCTCAGCTTAGAATAAAGTTTATTAATCGAAATAAGAACCATTAGAATCTACGCACTTTTGCCAACAAGAAACAAGTCTATTTATTCCGGTAGCATAGAATTCTGGAGTCCTGGAACCGATGAATTCTTCGAAGGCGTTTTGAGCTGCTGCTTGGTTGTTAAAAACTTTCTCTTGCAGGAAGTTGTCGAGATGCTTGAAAAAGTGGTAGTCGGTCGGAGAGAGGTCTGGTGAGTAAGCTGGGTGAGGTAGAGTTTCGTAGCCCAATTCGTTCAATTTCTGCAGAGTCATTTGCGAGACATGTGGTCGGGCGTTGTCATGGAGAAGAATTGGTCCTTTTCGATTGACCAATGTTGGACGTAAACGTTGCAGTTCTTGGTGCATTTTGTCGATTTCCTGGCAATACTTCTCTGATGTGATGGTTTCCCCGGGATTCAAGAAATTGTTGTGGATGATTCCACTTGCCGACCACCAAACAGTGACCATAACCTTCTTTTGATGCAGCTTCGGTTTGGGGAAGTGTTTTGGTGCTTCACCTCGATCCAGCCACTGCGCGGTAGAATTGGTCCTTTTCGATTGACCAATGTTGGACGTAAGCGTTGCAGTTCTTGGTGCATTTTGTCGATTTCCTGGCAATACTTCTCTGATGTGATGGTTTCGCCAGGATTCAAGAAATTGTAGTGGATGATTCCACTTGCCGACCACCAAACAGTCACCATAACCTTCTTTTGATGCAGCTTCGGTTTGGGGAAGTGTTTTGGCGCTTCACCTCGATCCAGCCACTGCGCGAAACGCCGTCGGTTGTCGTAGACAATCCATTTCTCGTCACATGTCACAATGCGATCAAGAAATGGATCGTTTTTGTTGCGCAAAAGAAGCGCAGAGCAGACTTCGTAACGGCGAATTTTTTTTTTTTCGTTCAGCTCGTGCGGCACCCATTTATCGAGCTTTTTTGATTTTCCAATTGAGTGCAAATGTTGAACAACTGTTGAATGGTCAACGTTTAGTTCTTCTGCAATCTCTCGAGCTGTTTTGCGTGGGTCCGCTTCAATAATGGCCTTCAATTGGTTGTAGTCAATCGCAGAAGGACGTCCGCGACCCTCCTCATCTTCAAGGCTCTCGTCTCCGTTGCGAAATTTTTGGAACCAATGTTGAGCTGTACGTTCTTCGACGGTCCCCTGGCCAAATGCTTGGTTGATATTGCGAGCAGTTTCCGCTGCTTTACGTCCCATCTGGAACTCATACAATAGAATCGCTTGAATTTGCTTTTTTTCCATCTTTAATTTATCAGCCTAAAAGAAACAAGAATAAACAGGGGAAACAAACCATTAGCATAAATCAGTAGAGCAAATTTCGCGCTTTAAAATGGTATATTACATGAACATAGTTCAATAAAAATTTATTCCAAAATAAGCATCAAAGTTTAAAATAAGAAAAACCGCAATTATTTTTGCACCAACCTAAATAAAAACAGTTCAGGAAAGTTATACTCGTAGAGGCAGAGACTTCCTTTTCGTATTAATATACTTGTCAAGGGAGGAGGCGTATATAAGAATCGAGAAAAAAAGTATTGGAGATACCATGAGTAAGACATATATCTGAATGACATGGAAAGTGAAGTCCTTTGGGCAGTCTCAGGCAGAGATTTTAATGAAAATTGCCAATGAATAATGAATATTCCCTGAATGGCATATCGATTTCAGGGAATTCATAACGTAAATCTTCGGCTATTGCAAGAAATTGCGATGAATATTCATTAATGTAAGCATGGGAGGCAATCTTTCAGAGAGGGAAATCTGATATTAACCTGATCGAAGAAGGAACATTGATCGCAGCAAGCGAAGCAGCCCGTCGTTTTAGAACTCCCACCATCCTTTTCGATCGTATCCAGGAGCTGGAGAACAAACAAGTTTTCGGAAATAGATTTGTCTTCGACTCTGATTTTGAGGACTTCGGCGATTCTTTCCTGTTTCAAAAGGGCAATCACGGCTTTTGTTTCATCTTTCTCAATCAAGTTCAGTAAGATATTGCACCAGATGTTGAAGGTAGAACTCGTGTCGCACGCTGGATATACTGATCTTAGTGTGTGCACGATGACTTTGAGGTCCAGCCGTTGAATGATTTCCCGGTCGGCGTTATCGACGACTTTCAGCATCACCCAGAGTGCTTCGTTCACGACGATGGGGGATGAATGGGGACTTATGTCTTGCAGGACGAACGACCAGATGTTGGAATCCACAAGTGCTGAGATATGTTTGTGTGAAACTGCAGAAAAGGACACCATTCGATAGATGGTCGTCTTCAGAATTTCCTTCATCTCTTCTCGTTGGAGCAAGATAGAGAATTGCTGGAAAATTCCATTCTGGATGAGGATTTTCGTGTCTGCTTCATTTCCACAGAATAAGTAGCCCACCAAGAGAACGGCAGTTCTGCGTATTTCCGAGATTTCATGAAGCACAAGTTCCACAACTTTGGGAATGAAGACATCGCTTGCGACATTCGAAATATCTCTCATTCTGTAACTTCTATAACGAGTGAAGACCTCCAGACAATTCAAGAAAATCAAATCCCGACGTGATTGCATAACTGGCAGATAAGGCGGCCTATCGATTATGCATGTTATCGTCAAGGACAGAATCTCAAGTGTCGATATGGAAATGTCTGTATTATATGATCTGAGCAGATTCTGGACGGCCTCAGATTCCATGCCTATTGTGAATAAATCTGGACTATGGAGAAACACACTTCCCAAGGCCCAAGCAGCCTGATGGACCACTCTCTCCTCTGAAGATTTCAAAAGTCTGATGAAATAGTATAGGGCATCTGCATCCACGACTGCCTTGGCCTGGATATAACCTCCCTCCATGAGGTCGGTCAGGGACCATAGAGATTCCAATTGGATCTCCGGACTTTCTTGATCATTTAGTAATGAAATGAGAGGAAGTATTCCCCCGGCATCCACGACATCCTGGGTGGCTGCACTGGCTTGTGACAGAATCCTCCTTAGACCCTCTGCGCCCTCACGCTGAACGCTTGGGTCTGGGTCTCTCAGTTTCTTCACCATCGCTGGAATCGTGTCTCTCTCCTGTTCCTTTTCATCATCAGGAGTTTGCGTTTCCGATTCCGTTGTGCTGGGAAGTTCCCCCGGAGCGTCAGTCTGAGTCTCTGATTCCACGGTGTTAATTTGCCTTTCTGGATGTGGGATCACGTTAGGCTGTGGCAATGAGTCGACAGGCTCCCATGATGTCTGGGTCTCCACATCTTTAGGCATAAGGCAGTTTTTCCGATGAGTGATTGGGATTGGTGGTTTGTTTTGCATGATGTCAGGCTTTTCTGTTTCTGTTTGAGAGGCTTTCGTTTGGGTGTCAGGGTTCTTCGTTTCTTCCGTTTGGGTACTTCTATTCCAGCCTTTTGGAGAGTCAGGGAGCAGTTCCTGTTCAGGGGTGGTAGAAGTACAGGACTGTATTGGAGGGAGGCGGGGCCAGGGGGGAGAACGAATGCGGTATTTCCCATATGGTAACATATAAAGTCCCTTGTAATAGAGACGATCATGGATGTCCAGGATTGGGGGCTCTGGGACTTTCACTGGAATATAGGGTAACCTAATTTGTTCTTGGTTTCTCAAGGGCACTATTCCTGATTGGTCCTCCTCTTCTTCAGGGACCCAGTATTTTGGGGGTATTGGCACATTGCGAAATGAAGATCTCTGTTTTCCATTCACGTTTTTCTTCTTCCCGTTCATTATCATTATCCCGTTCATTTCCCGATCTCTTTCACGTGTGGCTCATTTGGCGTTTCCCTTTAGACCTGCAACTTCGGCATTTGCCGGGGCTACGCCATCTGCACGTTCTGGAAAATAATTAGATTAATTTAAATTATGCATCTCCTAATATTTACAGTGTTTCATTGGAACTCTGGTTGCATTTTCTACTTTCATAATGAAAACAACGTCATTTTCATGAGCAGCCATCCTTCAATTAAAGGATGAGGGACTCTATTTGGATGAAAATGGTGCTGGCTGTATCAGATAGGATTTTTTCATTGTTCTGTGGCATAGCCTCATTTGCCACAAACTTTTCGTATTTTATTTGCGGATAGAAAGGGTTCACTTTTTGTTTTACAGTACAGCTTCTGCGGATTCCCATCCAATTTCTAAATTTCGCCCGTTTACCGAGCGCAGACGGGAGGCACTTGTATGACATAATTGGCTTCCACGAGATTTTGTTATTATAAGGATCTGCTAGCATGGGAAGATTTAAAATTTTTGTCGAATCGAACGTGAAGAAAACATGGGTCCCGCGTGAATTTGT